CTGTGATAATCCAAAAATAGTAAGGATAAACAAAGATCATCATTTACAGAGGGAAACCCAATTCCCTATTTTTCAAAAAAGAAAAACAGAAAAAAGAAAAAAAAGAAAGAACTGTAGAACTTTGGTATAGAGAGTTTATCCAAGTAGAACCAAAAATCATAAGCCAGAATAGGGAGTGTATTGCTACTTGACCTAGTTCAAGTAGTTTAGTGAGTTTATTCGCAATATTTCTACAAGTTATCTAGTAAGCTAAGAAAAAACTAAGACCTGCTAAGGTTAACAGCAAAACTCTAGTAGGCCTCTTACAAAACTAGCGGTAATAGTTCAAAGACTGTACTCTGTTTAGTTTAGGACATTATCCCTCATGCTGTTCAATATTTTTTCCTTGCTAGGTAGTTGAGGTTATTTCTTGTAGTCTTTTTCTGTTTACTCTATTTCAGTTCTAGTGATTATCAGAAAGAGTTGTGTATTTTTTATATATTTAATTACAATAGTTCATATATTTAATAAATAATAACATGATTTAGATCAGCATATTTAGCAAGTATAATCAATAATAAATTTGTATAAACAGAGTTGAGATCTAGTTTATTGTGTATACTTTGAAACAGTATTTGATAAGTTTTTAAGTATAAACTAACTAGTTTAAGCAAAATAACATCTCTAATATAAAGGTATTTATGCAACTAAATTTTTTTTACAAAATTGTAAATCTATATTAAACAATTATAATAACAAATAAGCTTTTAAGAGTTACTGATAGTTGTAAATGATGAAGTTACTTGCTTCTATAAAAAGTTAATATATTTCTTAGCATAGTTTAACAAAAATATCATTAATAAGTATCTGTAAGATATACTAAATTTAGTATAACCTTTAAAAAATTATAAAACAAAAAAAATAATAATAATTCTATAAAATTTATACAAAATATAAATACATATATATAGTTTACTATGACAATAAATTTATAACTATAAATATTTGCTAATTGAGTATAAGTAAGTTTTTTTTAGGAAGTATTATCACATTTAGTCATCTTTACTAATAAAACTTTAATTATACTTATTTAAAAAATTCCAATTATACTAAACTAAAAAAAAATATAATTTATTTAATAAAACTATTTTTTCAATGTATCTAAAAGATTCTTACCTTTGAAATTTGTAGTATTCGGTTGAGTAATAGGCCAAATAACATATTATGTGATTATAATTATGATCACGATCATGATCACAATCGTAATTATGATCATGATCATTATCACAATTGTGATTATGATCATGATCATAATCACAATTGTGATCATGATTGTGATCATAATCTTATGATTTAGAATACATAATAATGATGCATAGATTAGTAATACATATATAAGGACAAAGCTCTGATTCAATCTTGTAAAAAGCAATTGTGATAGTTATATATTCACATAGCGATAGTTGTTATTCGCATGATTTTTTTTTGGTATAAACTTGTATACCATCATAATTTGGTTGTAAAGGACATAAATAAAGTAGAACCACTGTCATTTAAGAAGCAATAAATGAATTAGTAGCATAAAAAATCTGAACGTTAAAAAAAAATCCCAAACAAAAAAAAAAAAAAAAAGTCAGACAAAAAAAAAAGACAAAAAAAAAAAAAAAATTCTGGTTAAATTATACAATATGCCAAGAATTTCGAGTAAGATAACTATTGGAGAATGGGTTAGTTTTATGTCATCAGTATTATCAAAGGAGTTAGTACTACAATACTTACAATACCGTGGTGGTAACTGGAAAAATAAACGTTTGTATGGTAAAGTTATTGGAGGGTTAAATGAAGGTGGGCGCCTAAAATATCGGATCAATGTAGAAAATTTTGAAAATATGGAAGTTGATGTTCTTGCGGGTAATTTGCGATATGAAAAACCAGATGATGACGAATTGTTATCAAATGTTGAATTACTAACTGTTCCTATAGAATTGTCTAATATTAGTGAAAGCAGTATAGAAGAGGATGATAATACTGTTAATGAAGAAAATAGTAATACAAGTGGTCCTTCTACTACAGTAAACTGGAAAGAACAATCTATAACTATTGACCAGCGTGAAATTAATCTATCATATAATCAAAATTGTAGTGTTAATATTGAATCTATTGAGTTAGCTTCACCATTTAACTTGTTGTGTCGCTATCTTCCAGTCAATTATATTAAACAGCATATAATTAATTCTATTAATATGCATGGGCGAGAAACTTCAAACTGGGTTGATATAAATTTTGATGAGTACATGAGATGGTTAGGTTTATGGGTATTGATGTCTGCATTCCCTGTTGCTGATCGTCGATTTTATTGGAGAACTACGCAAGATCTTACAAAGCCTATGGCTTCTTTTAATTTTCAACGTTGGATGCCACTTTCGCGATTTGAACAAATAGTATCATGTCATACTTTAATGATGATATGTGAATTAAAGACACCGAATCTTAGTGATTCATTGTATCCTGTTCGTAGTTTTATTGATGCATTTAATAAAAACCTAATTGAGGCTGTAAAGCCTGGAAAAACATTATGTATTGATGAATCAATAAATTCATGGTTAGGTAGCAAAAATAAAATTCCAGGTCATCGTAAAATACCTCGCAAACCACATCCTGTAGGACAAGAATGGAAAACAGTTGCAGATGGTTCTACAAATATTATCATTCAAGTAGAGCCCTGTGAAGATAAAGAAATAGAAAAAAAAAAACAATTTGTTTTAGAGTATGGTAATACAACTGCATATGTTTTACATTTAGTACGACCTTGGTTTAGTAGTGGCCGAACTATAGTTGGTGACAGTTGGTTTGGATCTCCAAAACTTTGCATAGTATTAATGCAAAATGGACTATATGGCATCTTTCATATTAAAAAAAAGCGTGGGTGGCCTTTAAATTATCCATGTGATATGGTTCAAAAGCTTGGAAGTGCATATGGATCTTATTTTTCAAAGGTTGCAACAATTAATAATATATATTTAATTGCAGCTTCTTTGAAAGATCGAAAGCCACAATGTATTATTGCAAGTGCATCGACTACAACAATAGCAGATAAAATAGAACATGTAGTTAAAGAGTATAATAATTCTTTATTAGTCAAATTTACAAGACTGAAAATCTTTTATGAATATTCTTGTTCTAAGGGAGCTGTCGATATTAATAACCAAGTATGTGTTTTTTTTTTATCACAGTATTATTATTATTGTAATATTACTATATTATATTATTATAGATATAATATTATAGTAATCTTTATAGTAATATAAATATATATAATAATATAATATGAATTAGTAATTTTTTATTCTAATTAAATATTATTATTAGATACATGATAATATGACATCATTTCATGATGTTATGTGTGGATCTAATTGGGAGTTGCATGTATATGCTTTTTTATTAGGAATTGCCGAGGCAAATGCTTTTTTAACATTTAAAAAGTGGAGTAATAAAGGAAATAATATATCACATTTTGATTTTAGACGATTATTAGCAGATGAAATGGTTAGTAAAATTTTTTCTAAAACTGAAATTTCAATACCAAATACAAGATTTCAAAAACAAAAAAGAGAAACAGAAAT